ACACACACACAAGAAAAAAATCTAACACCAAGTGTTTTGCCATTTTACTGGATGACTTGGTTTTGTGATCTGGGTTAGCACATTATGAAAAGGTGAAATCATCAAATATTTGAGAGAGATTAGCTTACCTCATAGGTCTTTGGGGTCCTCTTGATGATATCACAGACTGTCACATGAGATGACATCACCTTTTGACTAAGTTTCAAAAGGGCTTCTTTACTTTGGTTCACAGAGTGACCTTTTTAAAGCGCTTGTATTTAGGACAAAAGTCCCCTGGTTGTTTTAATATTTTAAAAAAGCAGAGTGCTGTGTTTTTAGTATAACATAATCAACACTGATTAGAAGATGTAAAGACAAACTATTTATACTCGGTAATTATGTTTATTTAAAGATGTAATAGTAAAATAAGAGTGTGCACCATTACACAGAATGATAATTTTGAGCTCTGTTTCACCCATATTGACATTTTGTCTTCCTAAAAGTTATTTAAAACATGAGAGTGTGAAGACACAGAAACACATCTTGTCTTTGACCTGTTAAATGTTTGTTGGTATTCAATATATGATCCACTTTGCTCAAAGGTTTGAAAGTCTAAGGTACTTTTTCCATCAGGTTTTATATTTGTCTCAATCATTATACAGCTGGTTTGACTTACCATCTTGAAAGAGAATTGAAAGTGGCATTATAAAGCCACAGATTATGGGCCCCACACCTGCTGGTGTGCCATCCTAATTGGCTGAGTTTTTAGTTTGTTTGCTTGTTTTTCTCCTGTATCTGTTTAATATTGAGATAAAGAGACTTCCCCCAGTAATAAGAGCTTCAGATATCTTCCTCTGTACTGTAGTTGCTCCATGGGACAGTGGTGGACACATCGGTGGTCTTCCCCCACCGTCTGGGCCCCCCTCATAAGATGACCCTTAACAACCTGACTGCTGAATACCTGAGGAGGATCATCCAAGAGAGTGGTGGGTCATCATGGATAACTACAGCCACCATACAAGTTAATGTTTTATTTGAATGTTCATTAAGTCTAAACTCCAGCATACATCTGAAGCAAAATCTAAATTTAATAAAGAAATTGATATAATCAGATTTCAGTATTTGATTGTGAAGACTGATTAAATGTTTTGAAGTGTAATGTATTTATAGCTAATGCATGTTTTGTCACTGTTTTGGTTTCTTTAAATACACCATGTAAATGTTTCTCGCAGTTTGTGGCCATGATACGGCAGAAGATGCTGCAGCCTGCATGGAGCTTATGTTATGGAAGGTCAAAGAAGATGGAAAAATGAAAAAATGATGGAAATAAAACATGACAATCCTCACACTCTTCTTACACAGAAAATGTTATGCAATTTAAATGTCACATATTTGCATTCTGAGGACATGGATGGGCTGTTAATTTTTTAGTTTGATGACCTCACTTGATTTATGTTGAAATATTTTTTGCATGTTAAATTTTGATTGCAGCCCATGTGTCTATGCCAGTATAAGCATTTGTGAAAACCTGAAGAGGCGTGGTGTGATCAATATTATCCAATTAAAGGAACATAATGAAATCGCTCTGTGCATGTGTGTGTGGTTTTTTTTTTCCCCCCTTCCTTTTTAGTTACAGCAGCCAATGAACATTCAGTGTTTAATGTCCAATTGGCCTCAGGTGCAGTTATGTCAATTAGAGCACACCTGTCTGCAACTGAAGTAATTACTTGTGATACGTGAGGGAGCAAATGAGGACTGTCCACATGTTGGAATGCAAATACATGGTATTTGTTTGTGTAGAGTCTAACAGTGTTTTTACTTCAGTTTACAGGCTGTCTGAACCTGAGTTTATTCTGACGAAACATGTGAAACACATAAAACACAGTACATTACTTAGAGTTTCACAAGAATACTGGACTGTGCAGAGTGATTTTTGAATGTATTTTTTATTTTCTTGCTCAAAATAGTTGTTTCAAATTTTGGACAATTAATGAACCCATTGTGGTTAGATCACATGAGTTAAGACCAACAGGACAACCAAAGAACTGTTTTTTCACCCATCAGTTTTATAAACAGCTTCATTTCATTCAGTTACTCAGCCTTTCTCTTTCTCTGTTCGGCTCTGCCACAGCACCTCCGGAGGCAGAAACTGCAGGTCTTGATGACAAGAAATACGAGGAGAAGAACAATTGCAAGGAGGAAGGCCAGGACATCCAAGCTGTGATATTGGTACCAGGTGAGCTCATGGGCCTGAACCCTCAGGTGCTCGGCCCCTTTGTTTCTCATGGTGTACTCGATCCAGAATACTGCCTCATCCAGAGGACTCATTGGTCTGTCATGATGGATGCTGGACAGTTTCATGACATTCTCCTTGTACCTATGAATGTGAATATACAGGGGTGAACATGTGAATTAATGTTTTGAATGTATTTTAAACTTTATACTTTCTTTTGCTTACCAAGAATTGGGGATAAAGAGGAAAAAAAGTTCATTTTTTTCTGTATTATTAATGTAAGCTCTCCAGAAAGGCAGAATGGCAAGAAAATAATTTTTCATCCATGTTGTCAACCATTTTCTGCTGCTGGGTTGAGTTCAGAACATAGATAGTAGGTGGCCATTGGCTGTAGTGTTTGTGGTGTGTTCAATTGCAACGTCTTGGCCAACACACAGAAATATGGGGTGACACAACAGTTGTCATTTGTCGTTACTAGTTCTTTGATGTCTTTGTGGTTGCGTCTTGGCTTCAAGGATGAGCCATGTGACCTCACACTTTCCTTTACTACACAAAGTTTATGACCATAGGTCCACTTGTTGATCATTTTACCCTCACTTATAAACAGGACCACAAGATACCGCCTCACTTGATGCAACAACTCACACCCAAGGAGGGCAATCTGCCATTCTCTGGCAGAGAACCATGGCCTCAGACTTGACCATTTGCACATTGGGCTGCAAACCACCCCAGTGCACCTGAGATCTTATCCATAAAAATCAGGAACTAATTCAGAGACGAGACAACCCTGGCATTGACCAACATCCTCTGAAATGATGTTTGACTTCAAATCAAAATATAGAACCAGGCCACTACTGTTTGCCAGAACTTCCTTGTGGCCAACCAAAAGTCTTCCCTACCTAGCCTCCCTGAACTAATGCCGTGCTGTTTTTTTTTTTTTACCTTGGTGACCAATTACGGGTACATGAGGAGGCACCAGTTTCTCTACACCACGTGAGGTGTTGCAGCTCCTTTTAGGCTGATTTTCCATTTTCATTTATGGCATGTCGTCAATCTTGCGTCTGTATTATTAATGTGAGCTCTCCAGAAATGCAATAATTTTTCAATATTAACCTTAAACAGACCAACTACAGATAAGTAAAATAACTTACGATTTGTCATTGATGACAGTATTGATAGCATCTCTAAGGTCTTCAGACTTCATGAGGTTCACGTCCACAGTAACTGCAGCTCCCTTAGCTTTCATGTGGACCATGTTCTGTGGCTGGTCAGCGAACATGGGGATGCCCACCATGGGAACACCGTGGTAGATGGCCTCATAAATCCCATTTGAGCCACCATGGGTGATGAAAGCTCTGGTCTTGGGGTGACCTGATAGGTTACAGAAATTAATGAAACAAACATTATTTTTTAAACCAAAACAGGCTGTTTAAGCATATATTACTTCTGCATGACGTAACTGTTGTAACCGTATAAACTGAACATTGGGAAAAGCTTGTGAGTGGAAGCTTACTAGATCAGATCCCAGATAGATTTTTGAAGAACTGCAGAAAACAAAATTGCAGCATCACAAGGCTGTACAACAAGGATTTGTGCTGAAGTGCCATGAACTCATGGTAGGGGGGGTCACCAAAGTCATTTCGATACATTGTAGGGAAACCATGGGTAAAAAATTTCAGTATGTAATAGTGCATATTATTAATGTGCAGTGGTTGGAAAAATCCTTGTCTCTGAATTGACGTCCTGCTTGCCAAAGAACAAACTTCACCAAAATAATCTACTGTCTTTTCTCCTACTGTATGTCCCCTTAGGATTTTGTTCTGTCAAACTAAACAATGATGAGAAAACCCAATGTGGTGGATACCATATTTTAATTAAAAGTAAAAGTCACAAGGACTACTGTCGAAGGCTAAAAGCTTTACTTGCCCAGTAGGTCATTCTGAGGAATCCAGTCATAAATTCTGGTGTTTGCACCCAGAGTCGCTGGTTTTTCTCCCTTGTGTCTCCACACCACCTATGAACAACAATAAAACTTAGACCAACACAGCGCACTCATTAATTCTTCCTAAACTGTAAACTGGCATATTTTATACACTTCTGGTTGTTTCTCCTTGCCTAACATCCTGTCCCATTATCATGACTGAACCAGAAACAAAAATGATTGAAAGCCCCCCCTTCAGTTTATTTTGACATTTTTATATTTTATTTTTCTGAGTCATGTCCTGACAATGTTGATTAGCCACACTATTTGCCAGATATTTTTGAGAAATAATTTTGTGCTGAAAGTTAAAAGATGAAGGTTGTTGCTACAACAGGAAGATGACATATAACTATAGTAGAATCTACGTCATCCTCCAAGCTTGCGCAGGCGCACTGTCATAAACATCATAAAGGTTGTTGTAAGTTAGCTAGTCAACTTAGCTTGTATTTAAACATTATTAGTTACAGCTCTCTGTGTAGTTGTGTCCATCGATCAGTTTGTCTTTGTCATAGGTTACCTTGGTTGGTTGGTTGGTTGGTTGGTTGGTTGGTTAGTTAGTTAATTAGCCTAACTTATTGCATTAGCGAACTGAGTTTATGTTTTAGTTTCCTCCACCTTAATTTGTCTTCACCATTATTTTTCATATGGCATTTGTAGCCTATGTGTGGTGAACGGCTGCAGTCAAAGCAGTGAATTACCAATTACTGGTAAAAATAGCACAACACACCAACTGCCGCTCTCATGCACTCTCTTCTTTACTGTCTCCCAGCCACAGGGCACCTTATGCTGGATTCACGTTATTAAAATCCACTGCCTGATGCTGGGAAGCACACAACTTTCAAAAAGTCCCATTAGAATTACAAAAAATAAATAAATTAAAAGAGTCAAAGTGCTGCTCAGGGCAGTGTCGCAGGGCAGTGCTTTTCCCAACAGTGTCATGTAAGTTTATTCCAGTTGGCATAGTATTTGTTGACACTGATTGTACTCTGACCTTTTGTGGTAACTGAGCGAGGGCTGAGGCTATCATGTTTTCCTTCTCTGTGGAAATATTCCTGATCATTGATCCCAAAGTGAAGACCACGATGCCAGCGTCTCCAGAACTCTGCACAAACTTCTCTATATCCTGCAAAAAGAGTAACGTTACCTCAACGCAAACCAACCAGCATTTTTTTTTTCAACATCATTTTAATGGCTTTATTTTCTTCATTGTTTAAGTCAGGAATACTGTGAAGATATAATAAAACATTAATAGGTGTGTGATAGTGGACACAGCGTTACCTCTGGTAAAGGTTTAGCAGGTCTGCAGTGGATCCCACCAACAAATTTGAAGTTAGGGAGAGAAGGACGAGGAAAATCAAAGTCCCAGTAGGTTCGCATCAACCAGATGTCTGCTCTACCCATCATCTCACAGCCACTGGTGGGTTTTCCTGTCACAGTGCAAAAGTAAGGGCTGCTAGTGGTACGTTGAAAGGTATAAAAAATACTTCAGATATTTAATTTCATCTTTTATCAACTTATATAAAACATGAAAATGTTGCGAATTATTTAGTTAATAAAGCATTGCAGTCAATCAAAATCAATCAAACCGTTTGACTTGTTTTCTGAGTTGCTCACCTTTGACTTCCGAGTAATATTTATCTACTCCTTTCCAATAAATAATATTGGTCACAATGTCCTGCAGTGGGTAGAAGAGGAAGTTACACACTCTCTTAAAGAAGTTCATCTTGTCAGTCAGTTTGCTCATAGCGGCGGGGACAAAGGAAGGAGGAGTGGGTAGCTGACCACAATGTCTCTCCCAGTTATGGGCTAGGGAAAACCGCAGGGAGAGGACCAGGGGGATGCCCAAAATATCTGCTTCTAAGTCACTGCCGGGATAGAGGGGGTTAGCCAGGAGAAGGTCATATTTTCCCTCCTTCAGCTTCTTCATGATGGTTTCTGATTTCACCACGCCATCCAAAAACTTTAAAAAGTTCTGCATGTACACTGTCATAATATTCATGTATTTGATGTACATCTGCAAGTAGCTCATATGATCAATCTCATACATGGAGAAGTGAAAAAAATCCTCATAAAACTGTCTGATGGTCTCCATTGAGATAGAGACATTGAAGGGTTCGTAGCCAAAACGAGGAGACTCACTGGTGGTCATGAACATTGAAGTGCTTGGGACCAGAACCGTCACCTGGTGTCCCCTGTCAATCAACAACTCCAGCACAGGCTTCATGTTAATCCAGTGGCTGCCATCAGCGTACCACACCAAAATGTTCCCTCCATCTGCGCTCTGTGTCACACAAAGTAGGACACAAATGGAGAGATGCTGCCCCGGCTTCATGGTGCCTGCCTGTCAGGACAAAAGCTGGCCAGGTCTCCCTTAAAATATACTCCTTAAACAAACATATCTGAACTCTGGGTCACTGACAATCTTTTACACTGCATGTGACATTGAATATTGGACCCATCCCAAGCAAATGATTGGAGGCAGTGGCGCTGGATTAATTTCAGAGGTGATGATGGCTCATTGCAGAGCTGGCCGGGACTTGTAGTTGGCTCTTTATACAGCCTATAGGTTGTACATAGATGCAAGACAGATTAAAGGTGAAAACTATGGAGACGGAGGAATGGAATGGAAAGACGGATTACAATAAGGGTGTGCTATATGCAGCGTTAAGGACACTGCCATGGATTTATCATTAAACAGTGACCTGCTAATATTTAACCCTCCTGTTTGGCTGCAGGCCAACTTAAGTCTGTCTAGAGTTGTAAAATCTGGCATTCGAGGTTATACAGGGTTATTAAAAAGCATTAAAAGTCATTAAATAGATTTTGCGAAAATTAAGGCCTTAAATGGCATTAAAAAGCACTAAATTCGATGTCCAGAGGCATTAAAAATTAAATACACTTGATGGAAAAAAACATTGTTATTCACAATTTATTTTGATTATATAAACATTTAATAATTTTGATCGGAAGTATAATGTGATGATTGACAGGCGGAATCCTTTAATTGGCTATTGTTTACGGTCGGTGCACTAAGAGGCCGTTTACACGTACACGGTGATTTTGATAAACGGAGACATCTTCCTTCGTTTGTGCCCTTCGTTTACACGCAAACGGAGATTTCTCCTCTGAAAACGAGTCTTTCTAAAAACTCCGGCCAGAGTGGAGATTTTGGAAAACTCCGGTTGCGCGTTTGCATGTAAACTGAGATAAACGGAGATAAATAGAGTTATAGGCAGCCGACGTCACAACATGCGCCGGAAGTTGCGCCTGTGTCAAAAGTGCGACCTATGTTGCTATGGTGACAGCGGATACATGGAAGGCTTGAGCCTCTCGTTACACTGCCACCTACAGGTTTGGCATGCTCTTGTGTATATATACACGGGTAAGTGTAAACGAAGATCTTTTTGAAAACGGAGATGGTGAAATGTCCGTTTATGAAAATAGCCGGCGACGTGTAAACCGCCTCTCAGTCACAACACCTGATGCTTGGAATGCAATGTGCTGTGAGCGTGCTCATGTTGTGGCGAAGGGGCGGAGGGAATATTAGCGAAATGTCGGAAAAAATGCAATAGTGGAAAGCTGACATAACCCATGGCCCCATGGCCCGGGCCAATAAAATAGTAGGCTATGTCGGGCAAGTTGATTGACAGGTCACAGGTCCGCTCGGGCCAGTGACGCTGAAAGGCTTTTTTTTGTTAGGGGAACAACTCCAGCGGATTTTTATCCCACTTTTCTGGAGCCTTCAGTGGATTTATTGTGCTTTTTGGCCAAAGGTGCCCTCACCTTTGCTCGTGCAGTGAAACACCGGAGGAGGGGGAAACGTGCCGGTGCGCTTGTGCGTCTTCGCCAACGCGGACACTGCACACCGCTGCCCTGCAGGTATATTTCTCTCCAACGTGCGTTCGCTGGCCAGTAAACTGGATGAACTTCAGCTACTGTTGGTGAAAAATGGAGACTTTTTACATTTGCAGTTTTGTGCTTCACGGAGACGTGGCTGTGTGGATCAATACCGGACTCTGCGCTGCAGCTGGCAGGCTTCCAACTCTTGAGCGGATTGTAACACGGAACTCTCCGGCAAAACTAAAGGTGGAGGTATCTGTTTTTACACTAACAGCGGCTGGTGTAATGACGTGACAGTGATCCAGCAGCACTACTCTCCTGATCTGGAATCTGTTTTTCATCAACTGCAAACCTTTTTACTCCCCCCGTTAGTTTGTTTCATTCATTCTGGTCGGTGTTTACATCCCACTGCAGACCTTCCTGGAATTTCACTGGGGTATATGATGGTATTTGTGTGTGGTGCTCCCCATCAGCTATCCTCAAGTTATCCCCATCTGTTCAGCTGCCCATTGCATCAGAGTTCACCTGTGGTGCAAACAGACTTTAGATCCCCAGATTCTAGTTGTTCTTTCACTTTATCTCTTCACAACCAACAGACAAATAATGCTGCTCGAGCTGTACTTTTTACTTACAATATGAAACGCAGTTTTAGTGAAAAGTTATGAAGACAATTTAATTTGTTCTCATATTACATCACTAGAGGGCACACTCGACCTGTGCTGTACTTGAAGTGAGGGTTTCTTATCTCAGCACATTTCACTCTAATGATATGCTATTTCTGTTCTGATGGTTAAAGCCCTCAAGAGGATCTCTTATCGATGTGTGTCGATTTCCTTTGTGTTGAGAACCAAACCCCAACTGAACTTCAAATAATTTGTGGAACCTGACAGCAGTTTATTGTCGTAACTGACTCGAGTGGGCAACTGTTTACTGTCAATTGTGTCTGACACTTGGGAAAAGTGTTCTCTTCACAGATGAAATCCGGTTTACTCTGTACCGGGTGGATGGCAGACAGTCTGTATAGTGTGGTGTGGGTGAGTGGTTGGCTAATGTCAGTGCTGTGAACAGAGTGCCTCGTGGTGGGTTATGTTATGGGCTTGCATAAGGTGCATAGGTAGCTTCCATGATGTTTCAGTGGGTTAGTGCTGTGACCATGGCATCCTCTGTAATCTATTTGCTCGTTATGCAAACTGGTGTGAGTCGAATGTGAATGAGAGTAGGCTTGGGTGGTATGTTTTTTCCCCTAATACCTTCCTGGAATTTCACTGGGGTATATGATGGTATTTGTGTGTGGTGCTCCCCATCAGCTATCCTCAAGTTATCCCCATCTGTTCAGCCGCCCATTGCATCAGAGTTCACCTGTGGTGCAAGATGTGCACTACATACAAAACATTGTCATTACAGCTTTTCCAGTATGAAGTTGATAGAGAGATGAGCACTTGTTTTTTGACAATTTTGAAAATCATACCCTTGGAATTTCTAAAGCACGTCATTATTACTGGTGTGAGCACCACCGGGCTGCTGATGGTGGTCTTTTTGGCAGCGGGATGATTGAGGCAGACTTGAGGCAGCATGGGATTATAGACTGAAACAGAGAAAGGTTGAAGATCTTTGGGAAGACCCCAGTGAGCTGGTCTGTGCATTCTTTAAGTACCCTTCCAGACACTCCATCATACCTTGTAGCTTTCCTCAGGTGCACTGCCCACAATGTGTCCCTTAACCTCATGTTCCTGTACTATGGGGATACGGCTGCTGTGGGCTGGTGAGTGTGATATGGTTGCCTCAGGTTCCTCCACCTCCTAGCAGGCAAAGAAACATTTTTTTTAAGCAGCTGTGAGGTTGTTAGACTTGGAGTTGGTGATATGCTGAACCCCCTGCCTCACCCGCCACATGTTTTTGCCTCAGAAATGGTCTTCAGGCTTCCTCTTGTAAACCATCATGGCTTATTTGATGCCTCTTTTCAAGTTGGCTCTGGCAGGACTGTGCTGTGCCCCATCGCCAGACAGGAAAGCGGCGTTTCTGTCTGTCAGCAGGATATGGACTTCCTTTGTCATCCATGACTTCTGGCTGATACACCTGGAAATACCTGTCAATGGTGACAATGCAAGCACAGTTCTTAGTAGCTGAGTATGGTTGTAGTGAACTCTTCCAGGTCCCGGAGTTCAAAAATGTCCCAAGTTGTTTTTAAAAAACAATCAAAAAACAGCTGATGGGAGGCACCTTCAGGCCATGTTCTGACAATCTTTGTAATGGGTTGAGCTTTCTTCCTAAGGGGTCGTGTATGCTGGGATGAAGAGCAAAGACCTGGTCAGAACAGCCAAAGTGCGGTATAGGTGTTGCCCTGTAGCCATTTTTGATGTTAGAGTACACTATGTCCAGTGTATTTATCCCCCTGGTAGCATGTTGAATGTATTGCTCAAATTGAAAGAGTACTGTCTTTAAATTTGCATGGTTGAAGTCACCTGCTAAAATCTTTACTGCCATAGGTGTTGTTAACATAGTTGCATAACCCCCCACTTTTGCTCTTAGAGAACTCTGTTCCTGTCCTGGCAGTTGGCTGTGCAACCTGTGGCCAAGTCTCTGTGATTAACACAATGCAACAGTGATAACCTTTGGATTGTTAAACATGCACCAAGTCACAATAACCCACAAACATTTTTGCTGTATGTGAGAAATGAACATAACAGGAGGGTTGAATGGTACTTCTAGAAAAATAATAATTTATAAACAAAGCTGAATTCTTGCTTGTTGTTACTCTTTGTGCTGAATGACATGTTAAATGACAGACCCACCCCAAGCAAGTGTCCAGAGGTAAAAGGCAGTGGCTTTAAAGTCAGTATTAAAAAAAAAAAAATTTCTCTCTCCTGTACCAAAAATCCACAGACGGAAAGTAAAAACAGACTTTAGATCTCCAGATTCTAGTTGTTATTTCACTTTATCTCTTCACAACCAACAGACAAAGAATGCTGCTTGAGCTGTACTTTTTACTTACAATATGAAATGCAGTTTTAGTGAAAAGTTATGAAAAGACAATTTAATCTGTTCTCATATTACATCACTAGAGGGCACACTCAATGTGTGCTGTACTTGAAGTGAGGGTTTCTTATCTCAGCACATTTCACTCTAATGATATGCTATTTCTGTTCTGATGGTTAAAGCCCTCAAGAGGATCTCTTATCGATGTGTGTCTATTTCCTTTGTGTTGAGAACCAAACCCCAACTGAACTTCAAATAATTTGTGGAACCTGACAGCAGTTTATTGTCTTAACTGACTCGAGTGGGCAACTGTTTACTGTCAATTGTGTCTGACACTTGGGAAAAGTGTTCTCTTCACAGATGAAATCCGGTTTACTCTGTACCGGGTGGATGGCAGACAGTCTAGATAGTGTGGTGCGGGTGAGTGGTTGGCTAATGTCAGTGCTGTGAACAGAGTGCCTCGTGGTGGGTTATGTTACGGGCTAGCATAAGGTGCATTTTATTGACGGCAGTGTGAATGCACAGAGATAGCATGACGACATCCTGAGACTCATTGCCATGCCATTCATCCTCCGCCATGACCTCATGTTGCAGCACGATAATGCACAGCCCCATGTCACAGGGATCTGAACACCATTCTTGGAAGCTAACATCTTACCTGTTCCTGTGTGGCCTGCTGGCCTGGTGTTGACATGAGCTCGTGAGATCAGGATGGTTTCACCAGGCTAGTGGCCTGCATACCCACCAGACAAGTCACTCACTGATCGACTATGTGTGAAGGAGATGTATCGCACTGCATGAGGCAAATGGTCACACCAGACAATAACTAAAAAATGCAGTTCTGTAGTGCTACTCATGTGAAATCTTAATAAAAGTTGAAACTGCACTTTTTATCATGAAAAATCCAATTTACACCTGTTTATCATGCTGTTTAATCAACATCTTGATATGCATCACCTATCAGGTGGATGGATTATCTATATCTTATACTATATTTGAAATTATTATTTTTTTGACTGCATAGACAAGGGGTGTCAAACATACGGCCCGCAGGCCAAAACCAGCCCGCCAAAGGGTCCAATCTGGCCCACTCAATGACTTTGCTCAGTGTAAAAATTGAAGAGAAGTCATTAATTCCAATTTCTCAATTAAACATACTGCTATTCCTATTTGTCCAAATGAACCAGTTACTAGGCTATTTCTTCACAGAGGTGAATGGGAAGCCAGTGTGCTTAGTATGTTCACAGCACCTTTCAGTGCTCAAGGAATATTGTATACAGCACCAATATCAAACTCATCATGGCGATAATTACAACAACTTGTGAGTACAACTAAGAAAAATAAGAAACATTTGGCAGGTTTGAGGAAACATAAGTCCCGTTTACGTTTTAGCTGAGAGATCAGCAGTGCAGCTGTGAAAGCTAGCTACCTTACTGCTAACAAAATAGCATCAGCAGGAAAACCACACCCTGAGGGTGAGTTTGCTGAAAACAGATACAGTACAGGCCAAAAGTTTGGACACACCTTCTCATTCAATGCGTTTTCTTTATTTTCATGACTATTTACATTGTAGATTCTCACTGAAGGCATCAAAACTATGAATGAACACATGTGGAGTTATGTACTTAACAAAAAAAGGTGAAATAAGTGAAAACATGTTTTATATTCTAGTTTCTTCAAAATAGCCACCCTTTGCTCTGATTACTGCTTTGCACACTCTTGGCATTCTCTCCATGAGCTTCAAGAGGTAGTCACCTGAAATGGTTTCCACTTCACAGGTGTGCCTTATCAGGGTTAATTAGTGGAATTTCTTGCTTTATCAATGGGGTTGGGACCATCAGTTGTGTTGTGCAGAAGTCAGGTTAATACACAGCCTACAGCCCTATTGGACAACTGTTAAAATTCATATTATGGCAAGAACCAATCAGCTAACTAAAGAAAAACTAGTGGCCATCATTACTTTAAGAAATGAAGGTCAGTCAGTCCGGAAAATTGCAAAAACTTTAAATGTGTCCCCAAGTGGAGTCGCAAAAACCATCAAGCGCTACAACGAAACTGGCACACATGAGGACCTACCCAGGAAAGGAAGACCAAGAGTCACCTCTGCTTCTGAGGATAAGTTCATCCGAGTCACCAGCCTCAGAAATCGCAAGTTAACAGCAGCTCAGATCAGAGACCAGATGAATGCCACACAGAGTTCTAGCAGCAGACCCATCTCTAGAACAACTGTTAAGAGGAGACTGCGCGAATCAGGCCTTCATGGTCAAATAGCTGCTAGGAAACCACTGCTAAGGAGAGGCAACAAGCAGAAGAGATTTGTTTGGGCCAAGAAACACAAGGAATGGACATTAGACCAGTGGAAATCTGTGCTTTGGTCTGATGAGTCCAAATTTGAGATCTTTGGTTCCAACCGCCGTGTCTTTGTGAGACGCAGAAAAGGTGAACGGATGGATTCCACATGCCTGGTTCCCACTGTGAAGCATGGAGGAGGAGGTGTGATGGTGTGGGGGTGTTTTGCTGGTGACACTGTTGGGGATTTATTCAAAATTGAAGGCACACTGAACCAGCATGGCTACCACAGCATCCTGCAGCGACATGCCATCCCATCCGGTTTGCGTTTAGTTGGACGATCATTTATTTTTCAACAGGACAATGACCCCAAACACACCTCCACACCTCCAGGGCTATTTGACCAAGAAGGAGAGTGATGGAGTGCTGCGGCAGATGACCTGGCCTCCACAGTCACCGGACCTGAACCCAATCGAGATGGTTTGGGGTGAGCTGGACTGCAGAGTGAAGGCAAAGGGGCCAACAAGTGCTAAACACCTCTGGGAACTCCTTCAAGACTGTTGGAAAACCATTTCAGGTGACTACCTCTTGAAGCTCATGGAGAGAATGCCAAGAGTGTGCAAAGCAGTAATCAGAGCAAAGGGTGGCTATTTTGAAGAAACTAGAATATAAAACATGTTTTCATTTATTTCACCTTTTTTTGTTAAGTACATAACTCCACATGTGTTCATTCATAGTTTTGATGCCTTCAGTGAGAATCTACAATGTAAATAGTCATGAAAATAAAGAAAACGCATTGAATGAGAAGGTGTGTCCAAACTTTTGGCCTGTACTGTATATTGTTGAAATTGCACATATTTCTGTCATCCTTCAGCCTTAATTTCAGGCGGTTTATCATTTGGTTTGTACATGGATTGTTAATTAATTGATTTCAGAATGTATACTACTTGTAATGTTACTTCTTAACACTAAAAGAGCGGGAAACATTTGAAGGCTTTGTTATTTACAGGTTATTATGCAATGGTTTTACTGATGTGGCCCACTTGTGATCAAATTGGGCTGTATGTGGCCCATGAACTAAAATGAGTTTGACACCCCTGTAGGGTAGGGATCCGGATCCGGTTCTTTCTTGGAACCGGGTCCAAAGTTCCGGTTCCGGAACCGGTTCCATCACATTTGGAGTAACGGTTCCTGCAAACGGTTCCTTGATTGTAAAAAAAAAACATCACGTGCATTTCCATTAGAGTGCGGCATGGGCCGCATATTTCTGTCCGAACCCGACCGAGCCCGACATTATTTAATTACTAAAGCACTGAGTTTGTGTCACACAGTTGTTATGGTTACAGGCTATTTAACAGGCTGGGCGTGCAGTGTGGGTGCCCCGCTGAGAGGGAGATCTCCGTGTTTGAGAGCGGGCGGTGGGAGGTCCGAGATTTCCAGCGAGGGGAGCGGTAAAAACAAACAGCCAGTGTGTGTGTGTGTTCTGTTCAGGTGTTGTCACGTAAATAACATTGCCCAAGCATGAATGCATATAAGTATTTTTATTACATTGCTGAGGTTAAAAGATTATTTTTATGGGCTTTTTGCCTTTATTGACAGGACAGAGAGTGAAATGGGGAGACTGAGAGAGAGTGGGGACTGACATGCAGCAAAGGGCCGCAAGCCGGATTCGAACCCGCGGCCGCTGCAGCAAGGTGATGCCTCTGTACATGGGGCGCTGGCACTATCCACTACGCTACCGACGCCCCTGCTGTGGTTAATTTGAGGTAATAGTGTTACTGTAGAAATCAGAGAATCACTTTTTGTTGTTATATATTCTCAGGGAGATGATACAAGCTCTAAATCTGAAATACACACCACACACAAATGTGTATTTTCATCTAATTGTACTGTGCAACAGTTAGAATAAAGTTTTTGTATTTGTATGATTGCATTTGTGTTTATTATATACTTGTTTAAGTATAGCAAGTATAATGAATATAATGTAGGAATCGGTAGGAGGAATCGGTAAGGAATCGCAATCGTTAAAATCCTAACGAGTCCCAACCCTACACCCCTGGCATAGACAAAGCTTTAGATATTTAATTTGAAGGAGAGAAAAATGGGAGCAAAAACAAAAGTGTTACATTTAAATTTTTGTACACTAATTAGGCCACCAATTGTAACCAGCTAGATTAAAGAATGAAATGAACACCATAAAATCCCCTGTTGTTTTTTTTTTTTTTCCCAAACTAACACCAGCCAGTGAACATACAATGTCCAGATAGCCTCAGATGCAGTTATGAGAAAATTGGAGCACACCTGTCTGCAGTTGAAGTAATTAATTGTGATACATGAGGGAGAAAACAAGAAGAATGTCCACATAAATTAGAATGCAAAAACATGGTATATTTGTCTATTTAGAGTCTAACAATGTTTTTACTTCAGTTTACAGGCTGGCTGAGTTTAGTTTGGCAAAAATACTGGACAATGTAAAGTGATTTTCATGCATCTGTGCTGCGTGGGGGAAGATGCTTGTGACGCAATCATGTCTTCATAGTCACGGATGTAAACTGTGCAAGGCATACAACTGGGAAGCAGTAATTCTAGTTTAAACGTCTTTTCAATATTGTTGCCAAATTAGTTATTTCAACCTTAGCCACATATTCCGATTCAGGGCATTGTGGTTACATTACATGGTTTACACCAACAGCCATTACTTTTTTAACCAGCTACATTTCTATTCAGTTACTCAGCCTTTCTCTCTGTCTTTCCATTTCTGCCACAGCACCTCCAGACGCAGAAACTGCAGGTCTTGATGAACAGGATCACAAGGAGCAGAACGATGGCAAGGAAGAAGGCCAGGACATCCAGGCAGTGATACTGGTACCAGGTGAGCTCATGGGCCTGAACCCTCAGGTGCTTGGCCCCTTTGTTTCTCATGGTGAACTCGATCCAGAATACTGCCTCATCCAGAGGACTCATTGGTTGTTCGTGGTGGATATGGGACAGCTGCATGACATTTTCCTTGTACCTATGAATGTGGACACATAGGGGTCAACATATGAATTAATGCATTGTACATATTTTTAATCTTTATACTTTTTTTTTTGTTTGGCTTACCAAGAATGATGATGAAAAGGACCGAAAAGGTTGAATTTTTTTAGTTTAATGTATGTGAAAGCTAAAATCCTAAAAAGGAACATCAACATATCATATGAGAAGAAGAGGCCAGCCAATAGTTTAGTATTCATTCAAGTCAAGTCCAAATGGCACATAGAGATTTATTCTGACCTTTTAAGGGATTTAAGTGAGGGCTTAGGCTATTCTGTTCCCCTTCTCTATGGTGATGTTCTTGATGAATGAACCCAAAGTGAAGACCACAATGCCAGGGTCTCCAGGATAAACCCCTAACCCTAACTCCACAAACCCCTAACCCTGAGAGACAACCCTGGCAGAGGCCTCTAAATTTATAGTCAACTGTATTCTGAATTTATAGTCAACTATATTGACTTCCAACCAAGAATACAGACACAGCTCTCACTCTTGTCAGTTTGCCAGATCTTTCTCGTGGCCATCTGAAAATCCTTCCAGTTGGTAGCCTCTGCAAACTAATTGCATACCTGGGTTTTCACTATGGTGACAGCCAAAGTAGCAGCTCTTCTGGCCTTTCAGTTGATATCACTCCCCCTTACATATCAGCTTTGTTTTTTTTCTCTAGGATTCTAGGTCCCCTCCTTGCCTGCCACCCAGCTGGCAATGCATTCGAGCCTAGTGCCTGTCCCTGTGGGCAGTGTGCCCACAGGGCGGCAGCTCCAGGTTCTTCTTTTGGGTTGTGTCCATCCAACAAGGCCATTAGGAGCTTCCCTCCCAGGTCTGGCTACATGAGGGGGGTACTGGTTTCCCTATTCCTGATGACTCGCTGCAACTCCTTTTTGGCTGATTCATGGGGTCTGTGAATCAATCTTAGTCTGCCCACCACCCCACCCAAGAGGAGCAGTTGCTCCTTCAAGATTAGATGACTATTCTTGAAGGGAAAATTTGTCTTTTGAATACCTTTTATTAATGACCCATTGCTGAAACCACACCAAGCAGCAGCAAAGTGTGGCTTGCTGCGACAATAAAATTTTTCTGCAGCTGGGAGGCTTGTGTATGTGTTTCAGGAGGGAAGAAAATTTGTTGTAAAATAGATCATCTCGCAGGAGTCACAGGACTTTGTTTACTGATTGGCTGCGGGTATGTTCTGGCCACAATTCACCAAGAAAAATATACAATACACAACTTTTAGTTTGGCTGCACTTTGCCATAGAATCAAATGGCCGCAGCTTGCAGAGCTTGAAGCTGCCGCAGCAGCTTTCCATGGACATTGCATGGCATTTTGCGGCAGATCCCACTTACCAGCTGCTTTATGTGTTTCTGGCATAAAAAAAACAACTGCAGATAAGTAAAATAACTTACGATTTGTCATTGATGACGGCATTGACTGCATCTCTCAGGTCCTCGGTCTTCATGAAGTTCAGGTCTACAGTAACTGCAGCTCCCTTAGCCTTCATATGGACCATATTGTGTGGCTGGTCAGCGAACATGGGGATGCCCACCATAGGAACACCATGGTAGATGGCCTCGTAAATCCCATTTGCTCCACCATGGGTGATGAATGCTACGGTCTTGGGGTGACCTGATAGGTTACCAAAAATCATGAAACCTACATTATTTTTCAAACCAGAACAGGCTGTTAAAGCACATGTCATCACTTCTGTATGATGTAACTGTAATAAGTATCTAAACTGGACATTGGCAAGGATTGTGAGTGGAAGTTTAATAGATTAGATCCCAGAGATTCTTTGGAAAAACTGCAGAAAACTACAGTGCGACATCTCAAGGTCCACCACAAGGATTTGTGCTGAAGTGCCATGAACTTATGGTGGCAATAGAGGAAAAGGGGGTCACCAAAGTCATTTGGATAAATTGTACAGAATCATGTATATGAAATACCAGTATGTAAAAGAACTTATTAATGTGTAGTGGTTGGAAAAATCCTCGTCTGTGGATTGCCTCTTGCCAGAGAACAAACTTCACCAAAATATTCTTACTAGGTTGTCTTTCCTACTGTATGTCCCCTTAGGATTTCGTACTGCCCAACTTAATAATGACAAAACCCACTGCGGTGGATACCCAAATTTATTTAATATTAGAAGTCATGAGGATTACTGTTGAAGATTTTCATAAAAGCTTTACTTGCCCAGTAGGTCATTCTGAGGAATCCAGTCATATATTCTGGTGTTGGCACCCAGAGTCGCTGGTTTTTCTCCACTGTATCTCCACAGCACCTATAAACAACAGTAGAAAACAGTTTTCAACTAACACAGTTAGTTTCAATTACATATAAAATACAAATAAAATTTATCTAGTGTGATTTGTCATCCTTGATCCATGATTCCCATAAAATCCTTTGATAGGTTTTCCTTGCCTTATGTCCCATCCCAATTTCCTGATTCAACCAGAAAAAATGCAGTGATGTTACTCTAAGTTTACCATTTATTACCATTAACTGTCATGTGTTTCTGCTGTCTGACCTCTTACCATCATACGCTCATTAACTTTCTTGCAGGGAGGGGTTGGTTTCATTGAATGTCAAAATGGTGTGAAAATCAATTTTAGACTTAAAGGTCCAGGTAAAGGTTTTAGGATTTAGTGGCATCTAGCATTGACGTTCCAGATTGCCTGTAAGAGAAGTACAGTGCTTAATGTAAAAATGTGATAAAGCGAATGGTCCTATCTAAAGCCAGTGTCGGCTTGTCCATTTGGGCGACTTTAGAACAACATGGTGGACTTGGTAGAAGAGGACCCATTTGTTATATGAATATAAATGGCTCATTCTAAGGTAATGAAGAGACATTGATTGTAATTTTCAGGTGACTATACACTAAATAAAACACAGTAATATACAATTTCTGCCAAGAGATGCCCTTCAATCCTACACACTGGACCTTTAAACATTACTCCAGATTGGATAATTCTTCAGCGTAAACACTTTGTTGCCTTTTTTTTTTTTTTCTTTTTAGTTACATCACCTTATTTTGCAGTTTCAAGCAGCAACTTCCAAAGCAATTGGTGCCATGTCAGGACATCAGTCATCAATCAAATAGCATTGCATTCACTAACTGTGTTTTGGAAACTCAAACCAAAAAGAGTCTTTTTATAAGAAAAACATTTAACATAGTCCCTGCTTACAACTGCTTTGTCATGTGACAGCAATGTAACAGTATGCCATCAACACCCTATTTCCAGTTGGCACACAGACTATACTGACCTTTTGTGGTAACTGAGCAAGAGCTGAGGCTATCATGTTTTCCTTATCTGTGGTGATGTTCTTGATGAACGATCCCAAACTAAAGACCACAATGCCAGCATCTCCAGAACTCTGTACAAACTCTTCCATATCCTGCAAGAGGAGTAACGTTACCAAACGTTATGCAAACCAACCAGCATTTTCCTTTTTTCCCCCTCAGCATACCATTTGCTTTATTCTCTTCATTGTTTAAGTCAGGAATACTGTGACGGTGTGATAAAACATTAATAGGTGTGTGATAGTGGAGACAGCGTTACCTCTGGTAAAGGTTTAGCAGGTCTGCAGTGGATCCCACCGATGAATTTGAAGTTAGGGAGAAAAGGACGAGGGAAATCAAAGTCCCAATAGGTTCGCATCAACCAGATGTCTGCTCTACCCAACATCTCACAGGCACTAGTGGGTTTTCCTGTCACGATGCAAAAGTAATGCCTGTCAGCTGCACATCTCAAAGTATCACCAATACTTATGATTCTTAATTTCATATTTACTTAAAATATAAAATTATTGATGTAAGTGATTTGATATTAAAGCATTGCAGTGAATCAAAATCAATCAAATCATCATTTGACTTGCTGAGCTGAGTTGCTCACCTTTGACATCAGAGTAATATTTATCTAATTCTTTCCACAAAACATTATTGGTCACAGCATCATGCAGTGCGTAGAAGAGGAGGTTCCACACTCTCCTTGAGAAATTCATCTTGTCAGTCAGTTTGCTCATAGCGGCAGGGACAAAGGAAGGAGGAGTGGGTAGCTGACCACAATGTCTCTCCCAGTTATGAGCAAGGGAAAATCGCACGGAGAGGACCAGGGGGATGCCCAAAATATCTGCTACTAAGTCACTGCCGGGATAGATGGGGTCAGCCAGGAGAAGGTCGTATTTTCCCTCCTTCAGCTTCTTCATGATGGTCTCTGATTTCACCACGCCATCCAAAAACTTCAAAGAAATCTGCAGGTACTCCTTTGTGATATCCATGTGTCTGATGTACATCTTCAAGTAGCTCATATGATCAATCTCATACATGGAGAAGTGAATATAATCCTCATAAAACTCTTTTATGGTCTCCACTGAGATAGAGACATTGAAGGGTTCATGGCCAAAGCGAGAAGACTCACTGGTGTTCATGAACATTGATGTGCTTGGGACCAGAACCGTCACCTGGTGTCCCCTGTCAATCAGCGACTCCAGCACAGGCTTCATGTTAATCCAGTGGCTGCCTTCAGTGTACCACACCAGAATGTTCCCTCCATTTGCGCTCTGTGTCACACAAAGTAGCAGCACGACACAAACAAAGAGATGTTGCCCCAGCTTCATGATGAAAACTGGCGGGTTCTGCCTGAAAAGGTACTCCTTGAATAGGAATTATTGACAGAAAAATCTGAACTCTGGCTCATAGTTTATGTTTATGCTGCATGGCATATTGGATAATGGACCCACCCCCAAGCAAATGGTTAAAGACAGTGGTAGTAGATTAATGTCAGAAGTGTGTGTGTGTGTGTGTGTGTGTGTGTGTGTGTGTGTGTATGGGGGGGGGGGGGGGGGGGGGGGGGGGGGCAAAATCTTTGTCTGTTTCTGTAGTTGTAGATAGATCAGAGGCACGTAGCCGATGGCTCATTGCAGAGAAGGCCAGGACCTGTAGTGGGCCCTTATACAACCTATAGGATGTACAGAGATGTGAGACAGATTAAAGGGGAAAACTATGAAGATGGAGGGACAGAATGGAAGGAAATGGGGATTACAGTAAGGTGTGCCATTTCAGTGCCATGGACATGGTGGTAGATTTATCATTAAACAGTGACCTGCTGATATTTAACCGTCCTGTTATGTTACAGGTCAACATCAGTCTGTCTAAAGTTTAAAAAAAAAATTTAATCCACTGTTCCATCCAACAATCACCAACTCTGGGTTGGTTGAAATAATGTAAAAATAGGTGTAAAAACAAGATGTGAAAATAAGCTGTTTTCTGGTGCGGTCTTTCTGCACTCTCTCTGCTGTTGTGGGCATGACACTGGCCAGCTGTTGACAGTCCTCTTAACTCTTCCTCATAAGCTCAGCTACCTGTTGCACCATAGTGACCTCAGGTGGTGCTTGGATGTACACTACATGCAAAATATCTTCATTATAGCTTCTCCAGTACATAGAGATGATATTGATGATATTGAAAATCGGCCTCGCTTTTGCCTCCTGTGTTTGTGCCATCAGGAGTGGGTGCAGACACATAAATGAACATAACAAATTCCCTTTGTTTTTTCCAAAAATTACATCAGCCATTGGACATTCAGTGGTTGATGTCTAATTGGTCTTAGGTGCAGTTGTCTCTATTTATAATGTAAAGCAAAAACATGGTATTTGTTCAGGCTGTTTTTATTTCAGTTTACAGGCTTACTGAACTTGAGTTTATGGTGACAAAACAAGTGAAATAAATGGCACAACACATGGTACATTGTTTGGAGATTCATGATAATACTGGACACCGTAAAGTAATTTTTTAATGTATTTTCACTTTTTTTGTCAAAATTATTAATTACAAATTTCTGGATCTAATCCACATATTCCAATCCAGGGCATTATGCTTACATCACATGATTTAGACCAACAGGACAACCAGAAAACTGTTGTTTTTCAGCCATTACTTATTTAACCAACTACATGTCCGTTCATTTACTCAGCCTTTCTCTTTCTCTTTCTCTTTTCCTTTCTGCCACAACACCCCCAGAGGCAGAAACTGCAGGTCTTGATGAAGAGAAATACGAGAAGCAGAATGATGGCAAGGAGGAAGGCCAGGACATCCAAGCTGTGATACTGGTACCAGGTGAGCTCATGGGCCTGAACCCTCAGATGCTCAGCCCCTTTGTTTCTCATGGTGTACTCAATCCAGAATACTGCCTCATCCAGAGGACTCATTGGTCTGTCATGATGGATGCTGGACAGCTGCATGACATTTTCCTTGTACCTATGAATGTTAATATACAGGTGGAAATGTGGATTTAGGTCTTATGTATTTTTTTTTATATTCATACTTAAGTTTCTTTGCTTTACCAAGAATAGGGATAAAACAGGTTGAATTATTTAGTTTCATGTATTCTAAAGCCTAAATATCAAAAGGAGGGAACCAATACATGAGGAGAAATGGCCATCCAGTGGTTTAGTAATTTCTTTGTGACCTTGAAACTCTGTGTTGGTAATTAAACAGAGTCACACTGCATTCCACCATGCCTCCTTTATAGCATGTTGTCAATCTTGCATCTGTATTATTAATGTGAAGTCTCCAGAAATGCAGTAATTTTTCAATAATACCCTAAAACAGACCAAGTGCAGATAGGTAAAATAACTTACGATTTGTCATTGATGACAGTATTGATAGCATCTCTCAGGTCTTCCGTCTTGATGAAGTTCAAGTCTGCAATAATTGCAGCTCCCTTAGCCTTCATGTGGACCATGTTGTCTGGCTGGTCAGCAAACATGGGGATACCCACCATGGGAACACCGTGGTAGATGGCCTCATAAATCCCATTTGTGCCACCGTGCGTGACAAAAGCTCTGGTCTTGGGGTGACCTGATAGGTTACCAAAAATCATGAAACCTACATTATTTTTCCAATCAAAGCAGGCTCTTGAAGCACATCTTATCACCTCTACTTTATGTAACTGCTGTAAACATATACTGAACTTTGGCAAAGGCTTGTAAGTGGAAGCTATCTAGATCAGATCCCATAGAGACTTTGGAAAAACAGCAGAAAGAGACAATCATACACCCAGCCCCCCACCTCAAGGATTTTTGCTTTTATCACACCTTTTCCACACTTTTTTTTTTTTTTTTTTTTTGGTCCAAGTCAGCCTTAAGCTGTGTCCCAGTACAATTTCCTAAATCTAAGCAGGTAATAAGTGTGTACTGTATGCACACTTTAAAAGGGGAAGTAAACATATACACTCAAAGCAGTCAGAATGTAAACTAAACAACGCTTAATTTTTATGTGTGCTGTTGATGGACACTATTGTCACACAATGTAAAGTACAATATAAATGAAGGAAATGCACACAGCCTGAAAAAGCTAATTGTGGATGTTGGTCAAACAGTTTTAGGCATGCTGTAGTAAAACAGGAAATAATAACATTTTTGGAAAACCATCGTTCTGTGTGAAGTTGACAATGACATCACAAAGTTGCAGTTTGAGTGACATCTGACACTACAAGCATTGTATCATTTCCTGTTTGTCCAAAACAATTAGGTAAGTTAACTTTTCATGCTTCTGTGCCGGTGATAGCTGCGGCAGAAGGCTTTGTGTTTTCCAGTTGTCTGTCCGACAGTTCGTCCCATCCTCGTGAATGCCTTGAAGGAATTTCTTCAAACAACCACTTCAGTGATCAACTGGTTAGATTTTGGTGATCAGAGGTCAAGGTCATTGTGACCACGTCTTCTTGATTCTTGTGTGTGTGTGTGTATATATATATATATATATATACACATCTATATATACACATCTTGATCAGTTGATCAAAACCACAAATAGATAGATGAATGTGTGTGAAACCCTTGTAGTATGGAATTGAGACACAGCTTTGTTGTGTGGACCTGTTTGCATAGTTAACTTTTTACTGGATGAATATCACCATCTGAAATGACATTCTCTTTCTTGCCAGACAACAAAGTTCATCAAAGTATTCTTGCTATGTTTTATCTCCTACTGTATGCCCCTTTGGGATTTTGTACTGTCAAACTGAATAGTGAAATAAATGTGGTGGATACCCCAATAAATGTAAAAGTCATAAGAATTACTGTCGAAGGCTTTTATAAAAGCTTTACTTGCCCAGTAGGTCATTCTGGGGAATCCAGTCGTATAGTCTGGTGTTGGCACCCAGAGTCGCTGGTTTTTCTCCACTGTATCTCCACAGCACCTACAAACAATAGTAAAAACACTTTCAGACCCACACAGTGCCAATTTTATTTTATCATAGACCATATAGCAGTACATTTAATTAGGGCTTAAGGATATGGGAAAATGATCTAATTGAGATTTTTTTTTTTTTAGACCAAAGTTGCTTATCTTTATCTTCAACTTTATCTATCATTTTATTGCTGTTGAAAAATAAACATGAATCTTACTGATCTCCCGTCAGTAACAGTTTTGTTAGAATCACACAAATGAAATTTCACAGACTGCAGCTCTACTGCGCATCCACCGTTTCTTTTCCTCTAGACCACACACTCATTATGCACACAGTACGCTACGCTACTCTTACAACAATGTAATATGCAGACAGACGTGGATGCTCTTAAACTGGGCTTCGACCCATTTTCACAGTAGTATTGCGAGCACTAGAACTTGTGTATGGCACGTTAATTCCATGTGGCACATAGAGATTGTCCTCTGACCTTTTGTGGTAACTGAGCGAGGGCTGAGGCGATCATTTTTCCCTTCTCTGTGGTGATGTTCTTGATGAATGACCCCAAAGTGAAGACCACGATACCAGCATCTCCAGAACTCTGCACAAACTCTTCCATATCCTGCAAGAAGAGTAACGTTACCTCAACGCAAGCCAACCAGCATTTTCTTTTCTTTCCTCAGCATTTTATTGTCTAATTCTCCTCCCTAGTTTAAAGGAATACTTCACCCACAAAATCACCATTAGTATGTCTGTAACTCACCCAATGTTATATTGAATTTGCTAAGAAAGCCTTGTCTTTTTCACATGCCTCAAAGATAAATGAAGAATCTAAAAACAGCCAACATTCTTGATGAATTAAAACAAAGGGGGACTGCATTTAACAAAAGCAACAGACATCAAGAATGTTTACTGTTTTTGGATTCTTCATTCACCGTGGAGGCACATAAGTAAAACAAAGTTTTCGTATTGAATTAAACTCAACATGGGGTGAGTTACAGAAATACTAATGGTGATTTTGTGGGTGATTTTCCTTTCAGTCAGGATTACTTCGGAGGTTAAATAAAACATTAATAGGTGTGTAATAGTGGAGACAGCGTTACCTCTGGTAAAGGTTTAGCAGGTCTGCAGTGGATCCCACCAACGAATTTGAAGTTAGGGAGAGAAGGACGAGGGAAATCAAAGTCCCAGTAGGTTCGCATCAACCAGATGTCTGCTCTACCCATCATCTCACAGGCACTGGTGGGTTTTCCTGTCACGATGCAAAAGTAATGGCTGCTAGCAGTACATTGAAAAGTATAACAAAAACGTCAGATAATTATTATTATTATTATTTTTTTAAACAATAAAGTGTTAAGTGTGTTGATAGATAAACATTGTGATTTATCCAGTCATCATTGGACTTTATGTGATCCATAAAAAAACAGTTGTTACACACAGTTGTAGCTCACCTCTGATTTCAGAGTAATATTTATCTAATCCTTTCCAAGAAACATGATCGATCACAACGTCCTGCAGTGCGTAGAAGAGGAAGTTCCACACTCTGTCTCGGAAGTCCATCTTGTCAGTCAGTTTGCTCATAGCACCAGGGACAAAGGACGGAGGATTTGGTAGCTGACCACAATGTCTCTCCCAGTTATGGGCTAGGGAAAACCGTAGGGAGATGACCAGGGGGATGCCCAAAATATCTGCTACTAAGTCACTGCCGGGATAGATGGGGTCAGCCAGGAGAAGGTCATATTTTCCCTCCTTCAGCTTTTTCATGATGGTTTCTGATTTTACCACGCCATCCAAAAACTTCAAAGAATACTGCAGTTCAACTGTCATCATATCCATGTATTTGATGTACATCTGCAAGTAGCTCATATGATCAATCTCATACATGGAGAAGTGAAGGTACTCTTCAAAAAACTCCATCATGGTCTCCATTGAGACAGAGATATTGAAGGGTTCATAGCCAAAACGAGAAGGCTCACTTGTATTCATGAACATTGATGTGCTTGGGACCAGAACCGTCACCTGGTGTCCCCTGTCAATCAGCGACTCCAGCACAGGCTTCATGTTAATCCAGTGGCTGCCTTCAGTGTACCACACCAAAATGTTCCCTCCATCTGCGCTCTGTGTCACACAAAGTAGCAGCAGGACACAAACCGAGAGACGCTGCCCCAGCTTCATGGTGCCTGTTTGTCAAAGTGGACGTTGGCCAGATCACCTTTAAAATGTACCTCTGGAAAAATAATTATTAACAAACAAAGCTGAACTCTGGCTTGTAGGTCCTCTTTGTGCTGCATTGCACATTAGATAACAGACCCACCCCAAGCAAATGGCTAGAGGTAAAAGGTAACTGCTCTAAAGTTGACAGTCTTACAGTATTACAAAACAAGAATAATTTCTATGCTGTACTAGAAATCCATGGAAAGTAAAAACAAACTTTAGCTCCCCAGATTTTAGTTTAACTTTATCTCTTCACAGCTAACAGACATATAATGCTGCTTGTGCTGTTTTTTGTTTTTTTTTTTTTGCTGACAGTAAGAAAGGAACTAGAGAGCATAAGTGTGAACGTCATACTCCATTAAAAGACAATTTGATCTGTTCTCATATAAGATCACTAGAGGGCACAGTTGACCTGTGCTGTACTTGCAATGAGGCTTTCTTCTCTCAGCACATTTCACTCTTATGATTTGATTTTTCTGTTCTGATGGTTAAAGCCCTCAAAAGGATCTGTCATCTATGTAGAGCCCCAAACTCTGTGACACAAACTGGCAAACACCTGTAAGGAGGAGTGTAAAAACAACAATGGAAAAGGTGTTTCATGGAAAGGTGAGTACACCAATGTTTTATGCTTTAAAAACATCCAAAGTGTTTACTTTACAGCTTACACCATCAGATCATTGTCTATATTTTTAAACTTTTAACATGGGAGCACCTG